TGGGGGCCAAAGCCCACACTCCAGTGTCAGGTCAGCTTTGGGTGGAGGCAGTTCCGGCAGCAGTGGAAGCATCTTCCTGACCTCCAGATTAAATTTACAGTGGTGAGACCAACAGGTGGCATAATGACTGTGTCGCTGGACTCCCATGTGGTCGACCATGGTTCGCGTGCGTCCTGGACCCGGTGGCTTGGACTCATGCCGGGCGCGTGTGTGTGTGCCCAAGATCCCGAGAGGAGAATGGAGGAGAAGGGATTGCAGCGTGGCCATCCCCCCTGGGGGGTGATTTTTGCTCTTTCTGTCTCTCTTTCTCTGTCTGTCTGGCGAGCGCACGTGCCCTATGGCAAAAAAATCTCTTCAAAAAAAAAAATTTACAGTGGTGAGAACCTGAAATCTAATGTTCTATTCTCCTAGCCTTTCCTAAGATTCGCATGACCCTAATCCCTTATGCTAACATTCCTTCCTGGGTGACTTCTGATTTCCAGTCTAATGCAGAAAGAGCTTGGAAGCCGTCACTCTTGTCCTCACATCAAGGGAAAAAAATGGAGCAAACAAAACCAACAATTCACCCTGGATCTATCAGAGAAGAAATTACAGGGCAAACTGCTGCTCCCAAACTGGAAAGACAGACAGGTAGAATCAGAGAATCACAGCTCACCAAGAGCGCAGGGGCAGAAGCTCTCAGCTGAAGTCAACATGAAACCTACATTTGGAGCCTAGTTTTTGGAACAATTAAAAACCATAGTTAAGGAGCTTGATGGTGGTACATTAGTAACAGGGTACTCGGCAAAGCTGGCCCACAGGGCAAGTTCCAGTTCATGTCTGGAGACCGTCCCGAACACATCGGCTATTCATGCGCCCTTGTGATCTGGGGCTGACTGAGGCTGAAAATGGACTGTAGTATAATGACCCTGTTAGGGATATTCGCTCTCTCTCTCTCTCTCTCTCTCTCTCTGTCTCCCTCTCCCTCTCCTTCTCTCTCTCCCTCTCCCTCTCCCCCTCCCTCTCCCTCCCTCTCCCTCCCTCTCTCTGTCCCTCTCTCTGGTAAGTACATGCACTCTGTAGCAAAATTTTAAAAAAAGAAATCAATGTCAAAAATATACATATATTTGTATGTTTTCTGAGAAGTGTACATACGTATATAGATATATTGATAAATAAAAATTATGTAAGGAGCCTGCAGAGCCACCCAGCCACCCACTTCTAACTGGCCCGTGGTGCAGAAAGGACATTCCTGTGACCACTCTCTCTTGGGGGTAGGTTTGAGCTCAAGCTGGTCATGCCTGAAGGGAAGCAAGTTTTCCTTTACCCAGAGAAGGATGAACCCAAACACATCCTGAACATCAAGAGAGGCATCATTTCTGCCCTTCTGGTTCCTCCGGAGACAGAGGTGTCCAAACAAGTGTTGTTTCAGGTGAGAATTTAAGAGCTGCTGACACAGGTTCTTTAAACCCATCTTTACATGTTAGAGACCAGCCCCACTGTATACTGAAGGACTTGTCTTAGCCACACAGCTGTTACCCAGAAAACCCTGTCCTGGTGTGAAATACCAAGCCCAAGGTTCTTCCTGTCCCCTGGGCTCACTGGCAGATAATCCAGGATAGGTTGATCAGGGAGGGTCTGATTTTAAAGCAGTTATTAGAGCATCCTGACCACACTGCCCCTCCTTTGAACTCATTTTGTTCTCCTGTGTGTACAGTGGCCTTCTTATCCACAGGGATGTGTCCCAGGATCCCCAGTGGTTGCCTAAGACAGTGGCTAGCACCAAACACGCTCTATATAGCACATTGCATACATACCTATGATAAAGCCAGATTTATAAATGAGGCACAGTAAGAGATTAGCAATAACTAATAATAAAACAGAACAATGATGAGATCCCAGCATCATTCCTCTTGTGCTTCAGGGCTACAATTAAGTAAAATAGGGTTACTTAAACACTGCAACAGTCAATCCAACCACTGAAAAGGCACTGACCCAGGTGGGCAGTGTGTGCAACTGACTGTGCTGGACAAAGAGAGGATTCTCATCCAGGTGGGATGGAGTGAGATTTCATCACATTACTCAGAAGGCATGCACTTTAAGACTTAAGAATTATTTATCTTTGAAATATTTTATTTCACATTCTCAGACTACAGTTGACCACAGGTAATTGAAACTATAAAAAGCAAAACCATAAATAATTAGGGACTACTGTATTTTAAATATCAAAAATAATGATATTTGTCCAAAGCCTCTTTTAAGAATTTTAGGTTCCAGCCAAGTACCTGTGCCCAAAATCCTGAACAGGAGAAATGGAGGAGAAGGGATTGTGGCATGACCATGGCCCATTGGGAAGTGCTTTTTCCCTCTCCTTCCCTCCCTCTCTATCTCTGGTAAATGCATGCAACCCCTGGAAAAGGGGAAAAAAAGAGACAGAGAGACAGAGAGACAGAAAGAGAAAGAAAGAAAGAAAGAAAGAAAGAAAGAAAGAAAGAAAGAAAGAAATTATTTATTTATTTATTTATTTATTTATTTATTTCAGGCTTCAACCTAGAGAAAACTTGCTTTGCAGCAGTCCCAGGAGCATTTCCAAACCCTCCTGGGTTCTAGGTTCTGTGCTCCCCATGCCTCAGAATACACAGGTGCATCCTGCAGAGACAGCTCAGAACCAGCCTTAACTAGTTTTTTCCCCCACTACCTGCTCTCTGATTGGCCAGACAGAAAGTGCTCAAATCCAAATTCCCTCTGCCTCTTCTCCCAGGCTTCTCTCCCAGCCCCTCCCCAGGCCCCCGTGTGTTTTCCCCTGTCAAATGTGCCTGGTTGTGTCTTCTGATCCCATAGGATACCGTGTATGGAAACTGCTCCACTCACCTTACTGTCAAGACGAGGAAGGGAAACGTGGCAACAGAAATCGTCACCGAAAGGAACCTGGAGCAGTGTGATGGCTTCCAGCCCATCAGCACAGGCGTCAGCCCACTGGCGCTCATCAGAGGCATGGTGGGTCTCGCATCACATTGGGCACACCCTCTCTATTACAAGATCCTTGGAATGTTCTAGCTGGTAGGGACCTCTGAGAAGCACCTTCCCAGGCTGCTCGTTATGCAGGCTACAGACAGCTCACAGAGAGACAGAAGGGGATACTACCAAGGCCTTGTGATCTGCTCTGCATTGAGCCGAGTCTAGAATCAGGTTCTTGTCTGTCAGCCCAGGTTCTGCCCTTGCTGAATTCCTTCACTGGTACCGAATTGTCTGCCATCACTTGAGACTAATGACCATCCCTCTCTGAGAAGGCTCTGGGGCGCAACATAAGGCAGTAAAATCACCTCTGTTGCCTCCTGTGTGGAGACTGCTTCTCTCCAGCTCCAAACCTTTGACCTCTGAAGAAATCCTAGAACTTCCGCTCTCCTCTCCTTTCCCTCATCCCATGAGGTCATATGACTGAGACTGTTCCAGCTTCCTGTCCTTGTCCTCACCCCCACTCCAGTACCACCTGGACCAAAGCCTTCTCTTCTGCATCCTCCTAGGTCACCTCCATGGTACTAGCCTTCCCTGCTCTTATTCAACCGAGATCACATAGTGCTCATTTCCTGAGCTTGCCTGACCTTTGTGACATCTCCCAGGATGTTTGTCACAGGTTTTCTCAGCAAACATGAGGGCTTGAGCAATCACTGCTGTGCCTGGCAGTGTTCCTGATCACTGGCCTTGAGCCCAAAAACAGGGAGTCCAGTGACTCTGCAGGCCACAGTCAAAGGAGCCAATGCACTGGCCCATGTGTCTATCCAGAGCACCCAGTGTGTGCTCAGCCCCAACTTTGGACAGCACTGAGGGAGAGAGAAATCCTAGACCTTCCCCTCAGGGTGCTTCTAGTCTAATGCAGGAAGAAGGTTTCTGGGCAAGCCAAGAACAGTGCATGGCGGGGGGCTGGAGAGAGTGGTACATGGGGCAGCACAGACCAGCAAGGAGAAGTTACTATCTGTGCAGCTCTGTGGGCGTGAACCTGAGATGTCCAAAGAACAAGTAGATGGAAGATGTAGGACAGAATTCTAGGCAAAGAGTACATACCAAGCAGTAGTGTGAGGTGTCGTGTGTAGTGGGATGGGTATGTGTAGGATACAGGGCACAGACTTTATCCACTGGGGTGTGATTAGAATCTGTAGCTTGACTCAGCTTTGGATATGCCAAGCTGTTACATCCCCTTGTCCCAATGTCAGGTACTAAGTTCTCTTCTTTCACTGACTTTATCTAGTGGTACAGGATTCCCATTCCTTTTGATCTTGACAACAAATGCCTACAACAGAAGACTCAGGTTCAAGCCCCAGGGACTGATCAAAATGTGTTTCCCACTCTATTCATAGACTCGCCCCTTGTCAACTCTGGTCAGCAGCAGCCAGTCCTGCCAGTATACCCTGGACTCTAAGAAGAAGCACGTGTCTGAAGCCATCTGCAAGGAGCAACACCTCTTCCTGCCATTCTCCTACAAGTAGGTCGCCTGATGCACCCCAATTTGGTAGTAAATGAGTTGTATGAGCTGGGTGCTTCCCTATTCCATGTTCCAGACAAGGCTGTACTTGGGAGGCAGCTACGGGGTGATTCCAAACAGAGCCCATCTTTGGCCCCCTTGCCAAGCTAGTAGGCAACTGGCAGAAAAATCTTAAGCATCCAAAATAACTCAAGATCAACATAAAATATTTTCAACCCAGACTTTAAGGACCATAGATCTGGAAAAGTTAGGGAGTATTGCAGGGTATCCTTGTTTAAAAAGGCACCAAGGAGCACTGGGAGTTTTAACCTTATTCTTGTGTATGCAAACCATTTTGGAGACAAACAGTCAACTAATACTTATTGAATAACTGCCATATGTTTGATCCTGTGCTGTGGGAGATACATAATTTCAAGGCCCAGTGTTAGTCCCCACCTTCTGGGCACTCCAGGCTGGTCGGTGAAGGGCATAAAGTGCCTTTGTCCTTCCTATAGGAGGACAACTAGCGTGGACAGCAGGCAGCAGGTGCTGTTCATTAGGGGGTCAGGAATGGCTGTGTTGAGCTGTGTATTATAAAACAGGCAGGATTTGGGTAGAAGCAGAGAAGAGGGAAACCTTCACCACGAAAAGAATGGGACATTAGAGGAACATTGGAGGGAGCTGGCCATCTACAGCATGGCATGCTTTCTTTGTTTTCAGGAATAAGTATGGGATGATGGCACATGTCACACAGACTTTGAAACTCGAAGACACCCCAAAGATCAACAGCCGCTTCTTTGAGGAAGGTAAGATTTTAGATCCACACCATCACTGGGACATCTGCCCAAGATGCACCAGTCAGTCCTGCCTTAGTTCTTGGCTCAGTAGGTCAAGTGTCTGCTGGCTGCTGCGTGAAGTAGACTGTGGTGTTCTGACTACTGAACTACCTGAGCAAGCATATACATTTTAGAATGTCAGGTGGCAGTGGGGAAAAGGGAAAGGAAGAGCTTCTGAAGTTCCCTTGCCTACTTTTCCCAAGTAGGAAACTGGCATCCTATGACTAACCTGACCCCGGGGTTCAGGTACAACCTCACCCAACCTGTGATAAGGTCTGGGGCTGATGTAGTCAAGGTGGGGCAGATAGGAGAGAGTCATCATGGTCAGGCCAGATAGCCCAGGAATCAATCTCTAGCGCGAGGAGAGACTTTAGCGGTCTCTAGTCCAGCCTTACCCAGTGTTGTGTTGTCAAGCTGTCAAAACTACTTTTTTATAAGTTGCCATTTGTTTTCTTTATCACAACCTTTAATGTCAGGTGGCAGAGATACGTGTTTTTAGACCCATTCTACAGAAGGGAAAATGACACATTGAAAGGGTGCAAATGAGTGCTCGGGTCTAATCTAAGCCCAGAGTCTCCATTATACCACTCTTCCATGCTGACTCTCATACCTCTCCCTGGCCAGAGTTGGAACAGGGTGAGGACGGGAATGTAAAACATCTCCCCTGCCCACAAGCCACTAGCAGATCCAAAGGGAAGTGGAGATAAGCACCGGTGAGTCTGTCCTCAGTGCAACCTGCTCGCAGCACCCTCTCACCATTTCTGCTGAGCAAAGGTGTAGTCTGGGAGCAGAGTCCAGCAAGCCTGGAGTCAGTTCCAGCTCTGCCCGTTAGACTCATATTGGTCCGGGACAGAGTAAGTGCTCACTTGTAAGTCATCGTTCCCAACTGGGCAATGATATTCACCGTCAAAGATGGTACAGTGGGCCAGTGGAAAACAATAATAATTTCAGCACACAGAGCCAGATACCTGATAGGCATTGAGTGTAGGATAGTTTTCCTCCTTTTTCCCCTTTGCTGATTCCTCCCCAGTTCTAGTTTCCAGGAGACAAAGATATGACATAAAGAAGTAAGCAAGAATTCTTCTGACCCATCCCTTCTTCCAGGAGCTGAGAGGGCGAGGCTCACCTTTGAGAGCACCAAGTCCACGTCACCACCAAAGCAGGCAGAGGCTGCTGTGAAGACCCTCCAGGAACTGAAGAAGCTGTCTGTTTCTGAACAAAATGCCCAGAGAGCTAATCTCTTCAATAAACTGGTCACTGAGCTGAGAGGCCTCAGCAATGAAGCAGTCACATCCCTCTTGCCAAAGCTGATTGAGGTGTCCAGGTATTTCCATAATGGGTCCGGCTCAGTCTTTGTTCTAACCTATGGCAGCTGGCTGGACTTTCAGACTTTGACCAAATAGAATCTCAGGGACCATTATCCATCTAGTTAATCAATGAGTCAATCAGTTCATGTTTGGGTAGAGAAATATCAGCTAAGATGCTTAGAGTTTCATAGGCAAAATACACACACACACACACACACGTGTGTGTGTGCACAGACACCACATGTAAGGCTGGTGGGTATTTGTCTGTTAACAGGAGGAAAACAGTTTCCACAAAGCGATGGATAGCTTCTCCTTCCTGGTTCTGTTGTGGGTACTCTAGACAGTTTGAGAGAATAGAAAGTCTGTGTCCTCTGGAAGCATATAGGCTATGGGAAAGAGAAATCAAGCAGACAAAAAAATAAATGATTTCTCTGCTTTTCCAGACTCTGACTCTAAGTCCTATGAAGGTCAGAGAAGGGAATACGGTCAGGAATGTGACCATGCCAGTGTTGGCCAAAGGACCATAACAGCCTCTCTTTAGCTACAGGTGCAACCTTTCTTTGATGGTGACACTCTAGGGAAGGGATCATGGTTCTTGGGCTTAGATTTTGAAAGATAGTTAGATTTGCAAAGTGAAATTGAGGGAATGAGGGTGCTCCTGGCAGAGGAACTGCCAAGGACAACGGGTGTTTTATCTGCCTCAAAGGTGCTCTGTATAACTCTCAGTACTTCCCTTCTCAGCCCTATCACTCTGCAAGCCTTGGTTCAGTGTGGACAGCCCCAGTGCTACACTAACATTCTGCAGTGGCTGAAGAGCGAGAGAGCCAACCCCCTTCTGATAGACGCTGTCACCTACTTGGTGGCACTGATCCCGGAGCCCTCAGTCCAGAGGCTGCGGGAGATCTTTAACATGGCCAAGGAGCAGCGGAGTCGGGCCACTTTGTATGCACTAAGCCATGTGGTCAACAAGTGAGTGTTCACACGGTTTCTCCTCCAAGATCCAAAGAACTCCCCGCATCTCTGTACAAGAATTGCACCCCTCTGTCCACTTTGAAACCCTGGTGCTTCCTCTGTTGTTGGTTACTGATCATTCTGAGAATAATGACTTTAAGTAAGAAATCAGAAAACAAGTTTATGTTTTAAGACAAACCTAATACTGCTTACTAAGTCCTACCTTTCTTCTATTATTTTGTAGCTATCATAAGAAAATCTCAACAGTGTCCCAGGACCTGCTAGACATTGCTGATTACCTGCTGGAACAGATCAGCAATGGCTGTGCTGGGGATGAAGATTACACCTACTTGATTCTGAGGGTACTTTATTTAGTCTTTTGTTATAATGTGCATCATTTTAGAAATGCTTTTCCCCAGCACACCTGAATTCTGCACCTTGATCAGTTCTTGTTTCTTTTCGTCCATGCAGGCCATCGGAAATATGGGTGGGACCATGGACAAGCTAAGACCGGGGCTCAAGTCTTCAGTCCTGAAATGTATCCAAAGTGCAAAGTCATCATTGCTGATTCAGAAGGCTGCCATCCAGGCCCTGCGGAAAATGGAACTTACAGATGAGGTAAAATCCGCACAGGAGGTCTGAAGGTGAAAGTTGATTCAGAGGAACTAGGATTTGGAAAGTACTAGGGGAATGAGATTCTAACTCTCATCATCCTACTGATTTTATTCTGAGGTTCTTTCCTAATTGCAAAATTCAACAAGCCTGTTGACTTGACTCTCTAACACCATGTGAGCAGGAAGGAAATACTAGACCAGGCTGCTACATCAGTCAGCAGAAAGTGAGACTTGCTACCTGCTGTCCTCCCAGCCAGACTGACCTTCACTCTCATTTTGAGAAAGCATGCTTGATTCCTCCCTGCCAGTATCTCCAGATCAGAGGAGATATCCTGGCCTAGCTTCAGGGAACCATGACTCCAGAGCTTTTGGGAATGACTTACTTCTTAGCCCCAGTCCTGCGATTCCTTCCATCTTTACCCTCATGTTGAAATAATTTACATTAAAAGAACTTTATTTTCACTTAATGGCAGACGTTCTAACAAGTCATAACTTGGCCATAATTCGTGTACTTTAATGGAATTGGATTTGACACATATTCAATAGGAATCTTCTAGGAATTGTACCTTAAGAGTGTTTAGGAGGGACCAGCAGATAGTGTAATGGTTACATTATTGGACTCTCATGTAGTTGACCATGGTTTAAGTCCCAGACATGGTGGATTGAAACTCACACTGGATACATGCTGTGTACGTATGTGCCCAAAATCCCAAGAGGAGAATGGAGGAGAGGGGATTGTGGTATGGGCAACCACCCCGGGGGGTGGAGGGGGTGATTTCTCGCTTTCTGTCTCTCTGTCTCTCTGGTGAGCACACATGCCTGATAGCAAAAATCTCTCTCTCAAAAAAAAAAAAGTATTTAGGAAACACTGGTATGAAGATTCGGTATAAACATTTGAAGGGTTATTAATAAGAAACTAGACTTCTATAAAACAAAGAGCTAGCAGACCATGCCAGCAGTACATGCCATGTGTGTTCTATGTTCAGATCCAAGGAGAATGATAATGACCTCCTCTTTTGAATGCAGGTCCGTGGAGTGCTTCTTCAGACTTTCCTTGAAGGTGCTTCTCCAGTGGATAAGCGACTGGCTGCCTATCTCATGCTGATGGGAGGGCCTGCTGTGTCAGATATTAACAAAGTTATCCAAGTTCTCCCACGGGAGCAAAATGAGCAGGTGAAGAACTTTGTAGCTTCCCACATTGCCAACATCTTGAACTCAGAAGAATTGTACATCCATGAGTAAGTAAGAGTAATGCCCCCCATCCATTCTGAGGAGCCTGGGCTGGAATTCTGGGCCTGGACTCTGGTGTAGCCCCTGCCTACCCCTTCTACAGTGTACTTTCTTCTGGAACAAACACTTGTATGAAGATGCATGAACTGTGAGCCCAAGTCTGGGGCTACATGAAACCCAAATATTTTGGTAGTGATTGGAAAGCCATATTTACTTGGAATCTGAGAGAAAATAGATAAGTAACATGGTATGTCAGTTCCAAATATCTTCCTTCTTTTCATACAGTTTCAAAAAGCTAGTGAAAGAAGCTCTGAAAGACTCTCGACTCCCAACTCTCATGGACTTCAGAAAATTTTCCCGGAACTATCACTTTTCCAAATCTGTTTCTCTTCCTTCACTTGACCACGTCTCAGCCAAAATCGAAGGGAATCTCATATTTGACCCAAATAATTACCTTCCGAAAGAAAGTATGCTGAAAACAACCCTCACTGTCTTCGGACTTGCTTCAGTTGACCTCTTTGAGGTATGTGTGAAGAATCTTCAGGTCTTAGCCCATTCTGTGTAACACCGAATACAGAAAGTCAGGGGCCCTGAGCCAGCCAGGAAGTGCAAAAATCATCCAAGATTTACCAGGAAGTTCCTGCTATCACTCTGAGGCCTTCTTTCTCTCTTCTCTTGGCTTCCTCTCTCCCCACTAGGGGTCACCTGAAGCCCAGACTCCTTAGTCTTAATGGAAATGCTTCTGTCTCAGAGAAGCCCTTAAACTACCCGAAATCCAAAGAAATTCATGGGCTGACAGATGTAGTTCAAATGCCAAATCCACTCCCAACTCTGAATCCGTGGTTTATTTATCTTCTCTAGACCTTAACTACCTCTTCTAGAAAATGGCAAATAAAATCTGCCTTTCGAGATTCTAGTGAGATTTAGATAAAAACTTCTGTGAGGTGCTAAGCTCAGCCCCTGCTCTGTAGTATTCACCAAATATTTGTTGAATTAAGTAGTCATGAATTGGGAAACGAAAGGCTGACATATCACAGAGAAAACTGATGGCCTCTCCCTGTCTGATTTTCTTTCTCAGATTGGTTTAGAAGGAAAAGGCTTTGAGCCAACGCTAGAAGCTCTTTTTGGAAAGCAAGGATTTTTCCCTGACAGCGTCAACAAAGCTTTGTACTGGGTTGATGGTCAAGTTCCTGATCATGTCTCCAAGGTCTTGGTAGACCACTTTGGCTACACAGCAAATGATAAACGTGAGCAGGTATGTATTTGTTAAATAGCCTCTTAAAGGCAGCAGTGAGTCTCAAGGCAAAAACTTTCTTTTCGAAGCCTTGAAGTCATTAAGACACTACCTAACTGAGCTATGAGTGTGGCTATTATTAACCAGTCCCATGGCAGAAGGACCAGTGTCCTTTGCAGTTAAGGGCCTCCTAGAAATTCAGTGAATCCAGGAATAAGACTCACTAGAGACACTCTAGCACAGTGATTAAGAGTGTGAACACTGGAACATGGGTTTAATTCTAACCTCACTGTCTTCAAACTGCATACACCTAGGAAAATTGCTGAATATAATGTCCGTTTCTATATCCCCAGAGTACTAATAATAATCTGTACCTTACAAGGTTATTTAGAGACTAAATGACATAACATATGTAAAACGCTAAGCACATTCCCTGTTACTGGTATTAGTTGTTCCATAAGCAGATACTACTATAAGTTTTAAATTAATATTTTTATTATTATTAACTGCTTTCTTTGACTCTCACATCAGGGCACTAGCTAAGGGGGTCAAAAATCCACTTTGTAGCTAGTAATGAGCCCCCACTTAAGGAGTAGAAAACCGGTTATGTAATCTGGAGCTTTTCCTTCTTTGCCATTTTGGTACCCAAAGCATCATCTGGCGATTGGCATTGCATAAGGACTTAGAAATGCAGGTTCTCAGGTCCCACCCAGATCTACTGAATCAGAGCCTGCATTTCAACAAGACCCCAGTGACTTGTATGCACATTTGGGTCAAGAGGTAGGATAATAATTTTCTGCTAGGCTCACTGGTAGCCTTACCTTAATCTTCTAATTGACTGACCTGCACTTGAGCCTGAGGTTTTGATTTGCTTTGGGTCTGTCAATGTGTTCTTTCTTCCCCAACATCTGGACATCAGTCTATGGAACGGTTATCTAAATAGAATTTGTCTAGGATCAAGCATTTTTCAGACTTCTGACCAGTGAATATGGTAGCAACATTTATTCAAGAAATCCTGCGTATTCTTCCTTTGTCAAAGGAGGAAGGAAGCAGAGGGAGGGGTGAAAACAAGTTCTTCTAAGCTTGAGGAGTCCTGCAGATCCAGGCATCCCAGAGAACACTCCCCCTACATACACTGTCTACATGTTGTCATGGCGGGAACAGTTTTGAAGTATCAAAATAGCTGACAATTCTCCAGGGCTTTGGTTTTGTATGGGTTGGGATTTTTTTGGATTTTTTTTCTTCTTTTTATCTTTGTTTAGAGGAGTTATCTTTCAGTGAAAGGTGGGAGCCCAGTTTTAGTGTCCGCCCATCACTACCTCAAATGCTGTTTAGCCTACTATGACTGTGGCAGACGGGCTCCATATCAGATATCTGAAGGGGTCTGACGGTTGACATCTCACTAGACATTCTGTTACTAAAACCCCAGGACATGGTAAATGGAATTATGCTCAATGTGGAGAAGCTGATCAAAGATTTGAAATCCAGAGAAGTCCCAGAAGCCAGAGCCTACCTCCGCATCTTGGGAGAGGAGCTTGGCTTTGTCGGGCTCCAGGACCTCAAGCACCTGGGAAGGCTGCTGCTGAATGGTGCTCGGACTTTGCAGGGGCTCCCCCAGATGGTGAGTGAACCAGGCCCACCAGGGCTCATGAGATTGGCCAGTGCTCTTCTTAGATCTCCCAGACTCCCAAATGCGCAAATGCCAAAAGAGGTGCTTGTATCTCCTTCAGAGAGGTGTGTTAGCCTTGAATTTCGATGATTTATGATTCTTGTATCACAAGAATTCGTAACATTCAAAAATGAAACTATTCACAATATTAGCTATATTTTTTAAAAGAGCATTCATTTGTTTATCTGGAAAGCAACGTTAAATATACTTCTTTCCTCTACCAGTGCTAAAGATCCTTTTTTTTTTTTTTTTTTTTTTTTGGGTGTATTTTTCATGATAGTGTGTGTGCTCTCCAGAAAGACAGAGAGAGAGACAGAAAACAAGAAATCACTCTTCAGGGAGGGATGACCATGCTGCAATATCTTCTCCTCCATTCTTTTCTCAGGATCTTGGATACGCATGTACATGCATCCAGCATGAGTTTAAGCCACTGGATCAGGGACCCGAACTGCGGTCAACTACATGGGAGTCCAGCGACGTAGCCATTACACCATCTTCTGGTCCCATGTCTGTTAAGATCCTTGACCTTGACCAAGGTAGTAGAAGCCATTTCTGCTCCCATGGATTCTTCTCCTTTCAGACATTCTGAACTGTCAACTGCCATTATTCAGTCAAATGGTACCCCAATCACCTTGCTTTTCATCAGCAGAATACTATAAAATACATCTTTTCAAAAATCTCGCAGAACTTCAATGATTATACCAATGCTAAGATTTATATTAATGCAGCTAGGATATATTATTCTGGATTGTGGCTCAGATCCTAAATGTTAATGGAGATCGCAAAGAAACATTTTGGCAGGGTTTTAAAATATTAGCATAAATTAATTTCTTCTTGCAACTTGCTTACTTTTGCTGGTTAGGAAAATGGGTAAGTGACTCCCTCTAGAGTGATTTCTCTGCAATCATATTATGCAGCCTCTTCAAAGGAGATACTTTGGAACAGCAAAAATAATAGAGAAAAGGAAGACATACAGAAAAGGTGAAGGAAAAAAGGTGTCTGAGTTTGAAACTAAATTTCTCCCTTTGATTAGGTATTTATTAGCATATTTGATTCCAACATACAAAGAAGAGCATTTTTTTTTTTTTTTTTT